CGGCGTACTTCTGTAGAGTTCTGTAGAGTTCTCATGAGAAATGGAGGAGGTTACACTGGCAAGTATGGGGGAATTAGGATTTTTGTAAGGAAAAAACTAAGTTGCCCGCATAGTAATATGTGGGGCGCGCTATAAGTTTCCTGAATGAATAAGAAAAAAAAAAATACTTTAAATGGTCAGAAATGAATTTATTGTTTCTCAAAATATTCTCCGTTAGCGTTAATGCACTTTTTCAAACGAATGAACTAATTTTACAAACACTTATGCCACTCCTCCGTGATAATCTCCGAAACATATTTTTGATACCTTCGACAGCCTCTTCGGGTGATGAAAATCGTTGACCGCATAACGGTTCTTAATTTTTGGAAATAAATAAAAGTTACAAGGTGCCAGGTCGGGACTTTACGCGGGATGGCTCATAAAGTCAACGTTGTTCACCTTCAAAAATTCATTTATCTGTCTGGCCGTGTGGGAACTGGCATTATCGTGGTGCAAGATGATACGGCGTTTACGGTTATATTTATGAAGTTTGTCAATAACTTCCGGCAAGCAAATAGTCGTGTGCCAATCATTATTCACAGTACAACGATTCTTCAAAGCAACAGAGCCACGTGTCCTGTTTTATAAAAAAAAACAATGATCCGCTTAGAGGCACTTTGCATGCGCGCCATTTTGGTTGGTTTCGGCTCATCTCGAAAGACCCATACGCTCGATTGTTGCTTTGTTTTGGGATCGTAACTATAAATCCATATTTCCTCACCTGTTACTAGGTGCCACACCAAATTTGACGATCCTTCGTTGAATCTGGTAAGCATAGCATTGCACCAAGAGATGTGATACGTTTTTTGAGCCTTAGTCAAATTGTGTGGGATCCACCGAGAGCACAGCTTTTTCACACCCAAATGTTTGTGTACTGTTGATTGTATTTGACTCATGCCTATGCCTAAAGATGCCCGAATCTCATGGTATGTCACATGCCTGTCTGTTTTGATCATACGGCGCACAGCATCGATGTTTTTGTTGTTCACAGCAGTGGACGGGCGACCATCACGAATTTCACGAAATGAGATTCACACGACCGCGTTTGAATTCTGCAAACCAGCTATAAATAGTATGGGTGAACCTACTTGTTGATAAAACACATATCACATCACTTCGATGGGCTTGGTTACGTTTCAAATATAATGACTTAACTGAAATTCATGATAAATTATAACAACTGATAAAAACAACTAATAAATATAAATTGTTTGCATAATTGTTTCAGGCCATTCTGGTTATGAACGGGTACAACGGATGATAAGACCATTATTTCATGCTCAGAAAATGTAGAACAAAATAATTTTATATAAATACTAGGCAATTTTAGGGCAGTAAACACCATAGTTTACTTCTTAAAATTACATGGAAATGATATTCTTAATGGAATCTACACGAACTCTTTATGTATTTCAGTGTTTTTGGAAGCTCCAGAAGAGGAGGAGAATAAACATGATGAGGACGCATCTCAACAATCTCTCTATCTCCACTTGAAACCACTCCGAACGCAAAAATTTGCTATTGTAAAAAGAAACAATTTAATAAATATGTATTTTAATTAGAGATGTTCATTATTTCAGTAAACACCTATTGAAAACCCTAATGAAAACGCCTTCAGTTTGTTTGCAAGTCCCTGTAAGTCCGAAAAACAAAACAATATATACTACAAGAACTAGGTGTTACGACCCTCTACTTTTGGATTAAAATTTTGAAATACGTACTCACATGCTTCCATTATTTTAGTTTTTAGGACCGCGATTTTCTAATTTAAGTGAGAGCAACCTATACTTTTTGAATGAAATGAATAAGTATACTTTTATGTAAACAATTGTGATATGATAACAAATCCAAGATCCATTCAATGTAAACAATAACCTAAAGGTGTGGTATATTGACACTTACGTTGCTCTTTTAGTTTTAGGCAAACTTCACCACAGAAAACGTCAATAAACTTAATCTTAGAAAATCAAGAACTTTATTGATATTGTCTGTACAATGGAAAAGGCGACATGCGCGTGTTCTTTAATTTGTTTCACAGTAATAACATAAATGTTTGTTTTTTATGTTTAACTATTTTCAAAAAAATATGTCATTGGCTAGAAATACACGTTAAATTTAAAAAAAACAATACTAAATTGTAGCGGACCAGAGACGAATATAGATCATTCATTCGCGGATTAGCGGTTCGTAAGTGAATCAGTTTTAACGTGGTACGAATTTTAACGATTCAATTTAGGATTTAACTACTTTTTTTTATACTTTTTTAACTACTTCGTTATTCACTCGTTTTAGTAAAGCTCATAGTAAGGCCCCAGATTATGATCATCTCCCTTTTTTTTTTGGTTAGCCTTAAGAAACATGGTTTTGTTTTGTGTAGTCTTCTAAGACCACTTGAATCGATCGTTCCTTCAAGAAATCGGAGATCCAATTGTACAGGTCAGTGGGTAGCCCATAAGAGGGAAGCTAGCTTAAAAGGCTTGCGTGCGAGACCTTCTCAAAGGTTTTAGAACTGTCCAAATATACAATAAGTGCTTCACCGTACCATACCATAGTTTCGTTCCATATGTGAGAAGCACACACAGGAAGATCTCCGCAGATCACCTTCCTCGGAATCCGTACTGGTCATAACTGAAGAAGTCGTTGTCTTCAAGTTAAGACAGGAGACGGTACACGTTCCTTAGTCTTGCAAAGTATGGAAGTGACTGAGGTTGACAGGGTCAGCTCTGCTTCCTTTTTTTGACACATTTTGCACGTTTGCTAGCTTCCAAGATTTGGGAACTACACAAGTCGCAAGTGAGAGGCGATACAAACGTGTGAGAACAGGAGACAACTCTGGCTCGCTAGTTTTATTCAAATGGACTCCCAGAGTTCTGATCTGAGTACCTCTTTTAGAGGTATTCGAAATTGCGCCATAGTGCAGCCAGTGTGAAGTAAAGAAGGTGGTAGGTTCCGTGTAGCATCATAATCATAGTATGAGACAGCGAGCATTCCGGCCTCAGCAGAGGTGGTAAAGAAGGGCGACTAAAGTTTGTTTCAACCGCTTTGGCTAGGTATGAAGATTTTGAAGCTATGCAGGTTTTTTTTGAGCCAGTTACCATTACAGCTACCAGCGGCTGATAAGAGATTCAGTTTTAGATTTGTATTTCAATATACTATCATTCCGTATAATTTTTGATGATCATTTATATACGTTTGCAAATGTCGTGTGGGGTAAATATAAAATATCTAGCTATATTTTTGACATCGAGTACTTAGGTGTTCGCGATTGTTATACATAGGAAATGAAACTATTTTTCTGCATTTAAATCGCGTATATTTGTTTTTTCAAATAAACCAACGATTCGGACCCTTTACAGGTCCCATGGTCACGGAAAAATAGTTGCATTTCGTATATATTTTTGATTTTGCCTAGTAGAACACAAGATTCGATATGATCTATTAAAATGTCATTTGAGAGTCGTTGTTTCCAAACCTGCCCTTAAGCAATAAGTAAAATATTTATTGATTGAAAGATTTGCACCACTTTATATCATGGTTCTTACTTATCATTAGTGATTATATTCTCTTCTCCCTAGCTGTAACGGTGTACGGCGAATTCAAACTCGGTGGCATTGCCATTCAGTCGATTCGATGTATCCCTTTTTAACCATTGTTTCTTTTGATATCTGTGAAACTTAACAGCGACAGTGGTTTATACGTTAACAATTAGCCACCTTGCTATTTTTCGCATTACGTGATTGGAAGGTCCTCGACGACACCCCGGAGTGAACTGACATTTGATTGGTAAACAATATTAGTGACTTTTGAGGCACAATGGTACGTTTGGACATTATTAGAAAATTGTATACAGAATCATTATCAATTACAGTTATGAAAAAATATGCAATGAAAAATATAATGTTAATATTTTTAATATTTGTTTTATCGATTTCCGCAGTCGGGGTGCAAGAAATTATTTCACCATGTTTTTTATAAATCGGAGTGTTTAATCTTAACCTTGAATTGTCTAGTCTAGAGAGGTGTGAATCTTGATGTCGTAAAGTTCAGGAAAGCCACAGGCAAAATTTATTATTTTTTGTGTACCATAAGTAGTTACACGCTAACTAAAGGTAACTCGTAAATAATTTGCGATACAATTCGATAATTTTATGAGGTAATGTTGTTGTCTTCATGGGGCTTTCAAGGTTAACAGTACCTACTTACTACAAAGATTTTAAATTTTTAACCTTAGTCCTGCCCACCATTTTAAAATATAGTACATAAATACATTAAAATGGCGCACAGGAATATGAGCCAGTTTGCATAACAAAAAATAAAATGGTGCCACTGGAGTCAATTTTCACGATGTTAATATTGTTTTTCAGGATTCAGTGCAGTATTCACTTGGACAACAAATATTTCTTGCTACTTTTTCTAAGGTGCTATGTTCACAGTAAATAGTGACTTAACAAAAAATATTAGTCGTCTGCTATACATTCACGGATGGTACAGTCATACCGGTTCTCCTAACAAAATTTAACATCTTACATTTTTCGGATTGTGGTAAGTGTCAAAAGTGAGCTTATTAGTTTCTAATATTTATAGATTGTATCAATTTTTACTCCCAGATATTAAATTCATAATTGGTTTTTTCAGTACAGTATATGCAGGCATTGATTCATCCAAATAATTTTTGCAATACACACATAGCAAGGACAACAGACGTTTTGATCTATTGGATTTCGAAACACAATCTAAAAGATAATGAAAATAATAATTTAAATTTAGATCCGCTAACAGACAAATCTGCCGCAGAAATTTCAGAGAAATCTGAAGTAGAAAGCGAAGACTTCTTCGAAATAGTTCGTGAGTTGTTAGACCACGAGGTCATAGTCGCCCTATGTTCGTCGGTGGATTTGCTTGTTTCCTCAAACGAGGCGAACTCTGACGCCTCTTCTGAAGCGAATGACTCTATCATCAATATCAAATTATGCGGATTTAAAAACAGCAAAGGTAAAGGTACTCTAATATTATTCAATAATTTTAGAAAGTATGATAAATATCCCAACTACTTTTGTTTTCAGGTAACGGCATTAACAGCATTCAAGAACTTTTTAGCAATAAAACGGAAAAAAAGAAAGCAAATGACTCACTTATGATTGAAGATACAGCTGAACAGTTTTATAAAAAAGATCGGAAACTTCATGGAGTTATCTCGAAAGAGTCAACCGATACCAAGGACTTTAATGATATAGATAAACAAAATCGCAAAGTACATATAAATACATTTCCATGCAATCCCATTTCTAAGAAAACAAAATATGCTAAGCGCAATACTTATAGACACGATGTTCGAAGAACAGTTTTGATGCACCACCAAAGTACAATAACTGAAGTCAACAAAAGTACTGGTACTATGACGCATTGTGGAATTATGGCAGAACGACCTTTTGAAGAGCATTGTCGTGATGCTAAAATTAATACGTCTACCGCTGCTGATATACCACGCTGGTGTCGCCAACATTCTGCACCCAACCTTACCGAGCCCGTCAAGTTGATTTCGTCTGATGTGCAGTTCATTGGTAATATCAGTACATTACCAGAAAAAGAACCTAGAGGTTAAGGTTTATTATTCTTACCATGCTTAAATACTAAATATTTATACTAAAGCTTGGAGAAATTTTTATTTTAAATAACAATAATAATAATAATAAGTGAGGAGCCTCGCATCTTAGCCACACTCCACAGCTAGGATAGGATCTCTGAAAGCATTGGTTTGTGTTAAGAAAGTACACATGGATTGTTATGGTTCCAGGTTTAGCGCCAGAAATATTTTTAAGCTTTGGTGAAAACTTGATGTGGCAATATAAAGACTCTTCGCCAGAACAACTTTTGGGGCGGATAGGCAGAATAGGCAGTGAAGGTACACTAAACTTTGCAAATGCTTTCCCTGATTGCTTTAAGGAAGATAATTATACTAGTTCAAGATTAACACATTCTAGAGGTAGGTTAGATCCGCGAAATTTCTCCGTAATGCACCATTTCTTGGAATTGTTATTTCTCCAGGCATGCCATGCATAGGTCAGCCAGCATACACATCACAGTGCTTATAAGATCCGTCTTCTTAGCTTATATCATTATATTTCTAGACATGTATACTTGTTCACATCTCTATTTGTGAATGTTTCTTTTGTAGACATGCAAAAAACTTCGTACCTCAAATGTTCGTGTGATTACCGACGGAAGGCAATACTTCGCGACGGTTTTTCAAATGGAACGCGTACAGAACCACCTCCAACAAAGTTCGGGATGCATCCGCGATCTTGTTACCAATCATCCTTTGGCACTACTCACAAACCTATTGTACGAGATCAGTCAGGTATCCCTTCCATTTTAGTATTAAATTTAGTTACATAATATTATTTCGCTGTAGATATACCCCAAATAGTTATCTCCGCAGGCCAAACGCACAAAAAAGTGTGCTCTAGTTGTACCCGTCGCCTCGGTCGTCGAATAAGAAATCGCAACCATAACCTGTCGGAGGACGACAAAGACTTTTGGATTGAAGAAATTAAAAAACGTAAACTTTTTAAACTTAAATGATTTGAATACATGAGGCAGTGTGAAATAAGTTGTTTGTTGTGTACTTAAGTTAAGCGGTCCAAAACGGGGTTCAACTCTGTGCTTCGATAAATACTGGTGACAAGGTTCTTTGTGCAACAACCAGCTGGGTAGGTGCAGCCGCTCTACCTCACTACTGTATTTCTGATTAAAGGGAAGGAAGAGCTAGCTTAATCACAGATACATACAACTAAGTCAGGATACGTTATATCCAGCATTTACCAACGCAGAGCCGTGAAGACCTGTTTTGGAAGCTAAGAGAGAAAATTATTTATTTTGACTTTTTCGCATCGCCCTTTGACATTACATTTACAAGTTTTATACGAGTTTGTTGGGTGTGAGATAAAGTCAAAATTGACTCGAATTGTAGTTCTCTGCTTCGCTTTCGAAACAGCTCTTGTCCATTCCACTTTGGTAGATAATAAATTCTGTTATTGCAAAGGTGGTTCCATTCCATAGATGAATCATCTGACAGTTTGTAGTTTTTACACCATAAAAAAGTATGATGTGGTGTACTCATGATGTTTCGTTTCGACTATTGGACTGTACTAAATTGATTCCTTTTCAGAATCACTTACCTACAATGCAAAATATAACAAACACCACCGGAAACGAAAGATGTTGAAATCTTCGAGAAACGATTTAATTTCTTACCAGCCAGGTAATATCAGTGCGTTTCGTTTTGCCGTCGTTCGTTTAAGATCGTGTGACCGTTTCTGTATCCGACCGAGTTTAACACCTATTAACATTAGTCAAAGACAAGTTTTATTTTGCTAAATTACATTAAAAATGTGTACCATGAGGGGTAGAGAGATGGACGGTCATCTTTTTGTGACATTATTTTTTTTGTATTTTTATTTTTTCATATGTATCTATGAAAGGAATTAACAATTTGAACGCTAAAACTCATACTTTACTAATTTGCTCGTTCATTGCCCATTTCCGTTTGTTTTTCTATGTTTCATAGTCAGTCTTGGCAGTTGTCGTGCTACCTTCTGCGAGGTGAACGTTACCAGGATGCCATCCCTACGGTCTACACTGCATCAATATTTCTGCCAACATGAAAGGAGGACAGGTAACGTGTTTTAATCCGCGTTGAAACTCTGTGTACCTTTATTAGTTAATAGATTAGAAATCCACTCTTTCGATTTAACTCAATTCACTTAGGAGTTATTTGAACCAATTTTAGAAAATTCAAACTTACCAAAATTAGATCAACAATTGAAGCTCCTTATCTAGCGCCCATAGTGCAAACCGTTGGTGAAGTAGATGATATGGATTATATGGGAATGTAAAAAGGAATATAATGTAATAATTCATTGAAATTTAGTTATTGGTCGACTATCGGCATTCATAAAAGTAGACAAATGTATGAACTTTACTATGAAAGAACCTGTAACACTAGTGACAGTTTTAATGATTTTGTTAGAAAGTATCCGAAAATGTTTAAGCGTATTTGTGTTGCTGCTAAAGCAATGTTTATAAACAATAAAATTACAAACAGCGCGAATGCAATAAAGACGACTTGGAATATTATAAACAACGAAACTGGAAGAGTCAAACCTCATAACTTAGATTTTCAACAAAGATATGATGACAAAATTGTAAATACTGACGCAGAGGTAGCTAATGTTTAGAAAAAATTGTTTACTGACATTGGAATTTCGACTACTAAGTCGTCGTCTCCCACTGCCTCTGAATCCTTACTAAAAGAAAATACTGGAGTTAGTTTTACTAATTTAAAGTTCCGTCACGTACTTTCAAACGACATTTTTAAAACCTTTTAACGATAGACATAAAAATACTGCTGATCTTGATGGTCTTACTGTCAAAGAAATTAATTCTGTAGTTGATTGTATTTCACCTTACCTATTATACCTATTATATTATTTTAACAAATGTGTTGATGATGGTGCGTTAAAGCAAAGTTATCCTACTTCATAATCTGGTAGTAATTCAGACTCCACCAATTTCCGACCTATTTCAATAGTACCAACTCTCAGTGAAATATTTATAATATTCTTTATTATTTATTGAATTATTTAATTAATAATTATTTGAAAAAATATTCTAAATCGGATGTGTGCACATTTTTACATTAATAATTTAATGTCTCCTAAACAATTGGGTTTCACTCGGGGCTGCTCTACAACCGATGCTGGTGTGGAGGTTATATAATACGTATATTTGATGTATTGGAAAACTCACACCATGCTATCGGTGTATTCTGTGACCTTTCCAAGGCTTTTGACTGTGTGCACCATGTCAGGAAACTTCGCCATTATGGTGTGGCGGGCCGTGACCTCGACCTTTTTCAATCATATTTGAGTTGGAGGGTACAGAGAGTCGATGTCAAGGGTACGAGATCATCAGGGTATGCAATTTGCATGGGCGTCTCTCAAGGTTCAATTGTAGGTCCATTTTTGTTTTTAGTTTATATTAATGATTTACCTAGCCTCATGGAGGTTTTAGAACGTGAGATAGTATTGTATGCTGATGATACTTCTTTATTATTTAAAGTTAAAAGGCACCAATGTTTCTATGACGATGTGAATAATGCTATATCTAAAGTAGTAAATTGATTTGCAGTTAATAACCTTAATAAATTGTATGAAATTTACGTTACCCAATGTTAGACAGACGGACACAAACATTATTATACAATTGTATTTCTAGATATAACTTTAGATGCTAAATTGCAATAGTGTCCACAAATAAATAAGTTATCAAAACGGCTCAGCTCTGCAGTGTACGTGATAAAAAAATACGGAAAGTTTCGGACGTCGAAACAGCTAGATTGGTTTACTTCAGCTACTTTTCACAGTTTAATGGCATACGGCATTTTGCTTTGTGGCAATGCCGCCGATATTAATAGAATCTTTGTCCTGCAGAAACGTGCGGTTAGGGCTATTTACAATCTGGGCCCCAAAGTGTCTATGATAGATAAATTGTAAAGAGATTAACATTCTTCTACTAACGTCACAGTACATTTATTCAAATGTTATTTATGTTAAGAAAAGTATTAATTTTTTAATGAAAAATAGTGGCAAACATAATAATAATTTTGAACTGCCTCTATGGTCGAACGGTTACCATGCCGGACTGTCATGCAGAGGACCCAGGTTCGATTCCCGGGCCGGGAGATATGTTTGTATGGCCTACATTTATTTATCTCGTGAACTTGGGTGTAATTTGTGGTTGTCTATGTGTGTGTTCATGGCACCCACGACACAGAGTTTCCCTAATGAGGGGCTATGTTGAGTGTATGCGTTATTTTTTTTATAAATATTTAATACGCGGAATAAAAATAAACTAGCTGTTCTTGACAGTCGCCTTCATAAAGTCTCAAATGATATACGCTTCTATAATAAGATTCCGATCGATATTCAAAATTGCTATTTTCGAGGTAATGTGAAACAACAGTCCGTGGTGGTGACCCGTTTCACTTTTTCAGGTATTCTCGATCTAATGTTTAAATTAAATATATTCAAATGTATATTCACAAAGAGCAACCCCTAGACATTTTTGTTCATTATTTTCAGGGGAATCTGCCTTACGTATGAGCAGTAGAGTTTAATCAGTATGACCATTTCAAGCATATTTCAAGTGTAATTTGCTTACCTATGAAATAAAGATTATTTGACATTGACTTTGTGTGACGAAAAGTAGAAATGAGCAGAAATACTACGTTGAAACTCAATAACTCCCAACTCAAAAACTTAAGAAGTGTAATGCACGACGCATAGATGATATTAAACAAAAAATATAGCAAATAGAATATAATATAAAAAACATAAGAGCTCGCGACAGTCGGGCCACCTAGGTCGACATTGATAATTCTTGCAATGCAAACCTCTAGCTGTAAAATGAAATAAAAATATTTTTTAACGCATTTACATATTACCAAGGTGTAGATGCTCGATAGTGTGGGGATTTCGTGCTTCTTTTAATAAGGCTAGACGATAATGGTAGTATCTTGATGGGAGTGAAATATTTGTTGAGAATTTTATTTCTAGGTTGTGGTCATTCAACAAATATGTGTTTTGTTTAGAATGGCGTTAAAGGATTTCGATACGGTTTAACCGGACTGAATGCAGGTATTTATAACGAACGAACGAACGAACGATAGAAGCTAACTCTAGTGATTAAATTGAAATACATAAATATTAGACAACATCACATATCGACTGTGCAACCGGTACTATCTCAATTGTGACAATTTTACACGGTGAAGAAAAAATTGTTCGCGTCAATTATATACAATCTTAGGAAATGAAACTATTTTTCCGGATTTAAATCGCGTATATTTGTCCGGAGAAATAGTTTCATTTCCTACGTGTAACAATCGCGAAAACCTAAGAACTCCATATATACAATCTGTTTATTAAATGAAAATACGTGGTGTATGTGTAATGAAAATATTTAAAAACTACGTATTTTTATTTAATTAATGAGATGCTATATAAATGACGCAAACAATTTTTTTCTTCGTCCTGTAAAGTTGTTAAAATTGAGATACATCAATAAATAAACACAAAATAATTTTTTTGTACCGTTACCTAATCGTTTATAAACACTTACATATAATTAAGAAAATTCCGACTAATAAATGCTTCTAACTACTCAAAGGCTTCACGATTTTTAGTAAAACACTACTGCGTTTGAATCGCCTGTTCGCAAAAATTTTAGCCATACTGAAAAAATATTGTGTGAATCGAAGAAAGCTCCTAAGCAGAATTGATATGTATATGCCATTACTAGTCAATTTAACGCGGTTTTAGAGTTATATCAATATTTGTTTTCTTATTTAAAAAAAATGGGAGACTGAAAAATTGGTACATTTGCCTTACGTGATATTCATCTACAGTCCTTTTATTTAGGGAAAGTATACGCAGTTCCATCATGCTCGTGCTGTATGACGCCTCCCCAGAATTCCACAGTACTTGGTCTTCTCAATTACAAGAAAGACAAGAAAGTGAAGAGGGAACGACAATCCAGTGTTGTGAGAGCTCTTCGAGCGGGTACTGGTCCTGTAATACCACGTAAGTTTGATCTAAATTATCCGAATTGCCACATGCTCGCCAAAAAGCACACGATCTATGATTAATTATCGTCAATTCTAGCGAATTGTGGTCTCATATAATATATGAGACCACAATAACATATAACATATGCTTGTCCGTGGTTTCATATAATATAGTAAAAATAAGACATCATCAGACAGGCATCAATGCCTACACTGCATTTCGCTCAGAGTGCAGGGTTGTCACGTTAATATTTTAGTTGTACCTACAGCATGTAAACATAATTAAAAAAAAAAAAACTTTTCATCAGTGTTCTCGTGTTATACTGAAGAAATCTTTGTTAAAAGCAGTACTCACGTGTTCAGATTCTTAGACCAGTATCGCGGATTAGTATTGAGAGTATGATTTTTTATGAAATAGAAATGAATTGCTAAACAATTCTGATTTGAGTGGCTCTTGTTCAAACCACCATACACACTAATAAACACGTCTACTATTTGATGTCATTTTTTAAACACCGAGCGATCACTTTATTTAAATGGCGTGTGAGGCGGACGACACATTCTATGCAACTTGAGCGCATAGCCAGATTATCGAATGTGTGCCGTTTGTACAAGTCGCGCGGCGGGCGTGCACTCATACAAGCCATGTTGCCACGTTCGTATAGAGTTACCCCACTCGTGCAAATAGAATCCGAGAACCGTATTGATATAATTTGCTCCCAGTAGCACGCACTTATTCTTGATTATCGTAGTCCACAATTCTTTTCCATTTTTCCTTCAAATAGCTTTACTATGTCGTCAATTCGATAAAGTGGTTTACCATACAACCTCGCTCGTTTTATACTATGAAACGATAGAATTTACAGTATATGCACAACTTATATCCAGTGACGGGACAAACAAGTCGTGATGGTAAGCTACACGTCTGTCCATAACAGTTGCAGTGCCACTCAGAGCTTTAAATCGCAAATATCTGAAGGGCTACTGCCACTGCGCCTGTCACCCTGAGACATAAGTTCACCAGCACCCTTCAAAACCGGAAACCGGAATGCTGACTTTACTGCTTGGTAGCAGAAATAGGTAAGGTGGCAGCACTTCCCTGGACGAACGCTTTCACAAGGAGTTCTACTGCTACTAAGTTATAGTCCATACAGTATTAGTAGGTACTTGAGAAACGATTACGTAGTATGCTAAATGTCCATTTTTATGAACATGAATGTTAGATATTTCAGACTTTCAATTTTGTTAGAACCTCATAAGGTTCCATCTTTCCATCTTTCACCAGTACGACATAAGTACCTACGATTTTACCTACGATTTGGTAAGTTATAGTTTGTACAATACACTATGGTGGTGCAGAGAGGCGACCATCATGCGAGGCGTGTTGCTGCGCGGCGCGGAATATTTGCGAGGAGCAGAAGTCGAAAGAGGACGACGCTGCTAGTGCTGCCGTTCTTTCATCAGGTATCCGAGTAAAACGTAGTCGATTTTAGACAACAGGAGAACATGGGTCATGGCTCATGGGAAATGGCATATCCTATACATTTTATTAGAGCAGTTTGCATTATAAGCGTAGTCGTTCCTTTATCTCCAGGGCCATCCGCATAACTTGTGTAGGTATAAATTATACTTGGCTCCACTTGGATGATGATTATTAATTATTACACTACCTCATAAGCGGTGGGTGATGGTTACGTTTTACACACAGTCCCTCGATTGTTGAAAAAAAATTAATCAGTAGATTTTTTAATATAGCTAGGGCAATCTGCACGTGTAGTCATACGTGCGGGGAGGGATATCACAATGCAGGATTGTAATCGTTTGTACTCTGTCCCTTGCTTTCATATTTGAAAATGGCATTGACGAGCGATTATGACTGCAAATAACTATTGTATTAGTAGGACCGGTGACTGTCGCGCGCTCGTGTACGTCTTTATGCCGACGAGTCTCAGCGCCCATATCAGCTCTCGGGATATTGACACCTGTTCCAGGTAACCTTTGTTTATTTAGGCACTTCAACGCTAAACTAGTTTCATCGACACGTAAGGTTTATGACTGTGATCGCTTTCGTTCAAGTAAATTTAGAAAAAAAAATTAAAATATTTAAAGTATTGCGTGTACACGTAATGTTCACTAAGTTACATAATGTTTAATTTTTTGTTATTAGTTAGTGCATGGAATTTTTTTTGTAATAGGTACACATACGTGCGTGCTACGGGACAAACACTTATCAAATAATTTGTATAGAAAGTAAAAATGGAACAAATGACGTCATCAGAACGATTCACTTTGATCTATATATGTAAGATATGTGTCTTTTTACAGGACAATTGATAAAGCTATGCGACCCGTGCGGTCACAAAAGAAAGGGATATGTCGAAGTGTTGCACCCTCCACCTTCGCAAAGGGCTTCCTTGGCTGCCGGGCTCTACCAAGACATTTACGGATGTACGTGTTTTTCAATCATCGTTCTTGTCAAGACGATATAATTATTGGCACCGGAGTTTTGTAGACCCTTCAAGGCGACACTGTTAACAACAATGACAATCATGAGGCAATTTTTTTAAGTATCTACAGAGTATAATAGAAAGGTGCTGTGGAAACTTATTACTGGAAACTTAGTAACTTATAGCTATATAACGATTTTACAATGATTTTGTACATGTGCATTTTATGGTATAAAACATATATTTGACTGTTTTTATCTTTATAGATGCCTGCAATAAATGGGATTACGAGGGCAAACTAGATCAGTGTACAGGTAAGACGTAAATTCCAATACTAAGTTTTGAACTTTATTTTACTTAATTTTAGTAATGTATTTTTTGACTATTTAGCTAACTGCTCATTTTTGAAACTTAATACCGGATACGGTGGGGTCGGGCTCGGCCTGCGGCGTATGGTTGTGTTTTGGTTTCGCGGTGCGCTTATCTTTCGTGGCACAACGGTTAGTACTATGGGCGCTTATTGAGTAGGTTCCGGGGTCGATTTCCGATTTGGGCTAATTTAGGAAACGAACTTACTCTAATTGGTTCTGTTCTGGGTATTGCCCTCAGAGTTATCATTATTCACGATGCAGGAAATTCGACAATTCTAGGTCAGAAAATTAGTGTGATTATCTAGCATTATATCGATGGTTAAAAGGAGACTTGATTACAGAGCATTTTAAACGTTTTTTTAAAACTCACTGTACAAAACGTATTCAACGAGAGGTGAAACTTATATATAATATATATATATATATATGATTATATTTCATAGATACGGGCAGTGTTGGGCAAAATTTAATTGTTCAGACCAATAAAGATCGACAATTAATTAATTGTCAATTGCGAAACAGCAATTAACAATTAATCAATCGTTAATCGCGTATATCTACAATTAACAATTAATCAA